CGGGTTCACCACACCGCCCCGCCATCGACAGTCGGTGGTTTTTAGATAAACATTAGACCGCCGCACATGATATTATTATATATTGATGGCGTGAGTGTAAAATAGCGACCAAACAAACAGTTTTTTTGTTCCTAGCGATCCAAATCTCAATGAATTACGCACTGGCGGCCGCCGACACACAGGTGATCGCACCGCACCATATTATTAGACTCGCATAAATTTGTATAAAATGTCCCCTGATACGTGCAGCTTATGTTATTATTCTGTTGTAAGATAAAACATCGAATACAACATTCAATTTTTTCTTTCACACTCGTTCGATAGGACTGTTCATTTTCGTGTACGGCACATTACTTATAATAATATATTTTATTGCAAACCAAACGAGTCACCATTGCCGATAAAACGCCTTCCGATTTCGACACCTCACAGCTTCGTTGTGCTTAATCTTAATCATTATTAACAATAAATAACAATAATAATAATATTACACCGCGACGGTTTCCTGTGAACGTCCGACGAAATTAATTCATCCTGAACCGGGCAAATCACACATACAGTCGCGCACGATAAATTGCGTATCGTCGCGTCGTCAGGGGCGCAGATAATCGTTTCGACAATGTTCCGCTTTTACGTAAAACTAAAACAATAATTTTATCATCTATATTATGATAAATAATTTTCAAATTAGAATATTGTTTTATTGGAATTAAATAATTACAGCCGAAGAAGCTGGAAAGTAGTATGAACTGTTCATTTTGAACAAACATTTTTGAAAATTGAAAAACAATATTGAACAATATATTAATTTAATGACCATTCAATATGCATATTATTATTTAAAATCAATCGATTACGTAATTACTACAGTCAGTATATCACTTGCCAAAATTAATCTGAATCGTACGTGTATATATTAATGATATCCTAATTACTGCAGAACAGAGATATTGATTCGATGCTATCTTTATCAAATATTTGAAAATAAAACAATAGTGAATAATATTATGAATTTACGTTTATATTCACGCCGTTAGTTGAAATTGTTGTTTAAAGTTCAAGATCGTTATTATTCACATTATAGTATTATACGCCACGAAACTATATATCCAATCCATTTGTTCACATATCGAACACATTTATAAACAGAAAACGTGTTTCAAACACATTTTAAACATATTTTCTGCATTGGTTGCACTTTATTGTCACCCGCCCAAAGAACTAACACAATTTTTAAAAACTATTGTACATTATAGGTAATAAATATTGTATTATTATGAATTATGTGCACCGTGAATTTAGATATAAAATTGTACAGTTGAGGAAATTATGTATAATATGTATAATAATTAAATAGTTGCCGAATAATTTTTTATTACGATTACGGTTGTCGGTTTTTATAGATTCATTTTCTTTATTTTAATACGTTAAAAATGTTTTTGATTTTATTCCATTTCCCTATTCGAAAAACCGATCGTTAAGTTGTATTACAACGGGCGATTTATTCTAGAAAAAAAAATTACCAAACATTTCTAAAGTATATAATAGGTTCGTTTTTATAATATAATACTCGACAAAATTTGAGACGGAATACAATAGAGTATACTGACTGAGTATAAAACTGAATAAATCATTCAGTATAATGATCTAGTTATACAAGGCGCATTATACGCACAATTTATTCATAATTCATTGAGTTTAAGACATTTTAGGAACTATTATAATAGTATTATAAACTGACGAGATTTGACGTGTATAATATAGAAGTATGGAATAATGAATTATCGGTATGCTCGACATGTCGTAAGTGTACAATATACCATATTACATTAAGGCTTTTGTACGGTATACCAGTAAAAGCTTTCGTCGATGGAACTTACATGACGAGACCGAGAAGGACTACATTATAATACTTGCATAATATAACAGTGCATATTTTGTAATGGAAGATAAATCGTTGTTTTCAAAAACTCGTAAAATACTCGAACGTCGAGTATCACAATATATTATATAGAAAAACGAAAATAAATGAAAATCATAATTTGCGTGTATTGGAGATACGTCATATTATATTATGTCATGCTAAGTTATTTTTAATGTCCATGCACAGAGCCTGTTTCTTAGAACGCGTCGTATGTGACAGTAAAACGAAAAATCCCTTAACGAATTGTTCGGACTTATAACGAATACATTTGCATAAGAAATTCCTAATATACAGATTCCTTACTACGCATATACTTGCAGAGCCGGGAACTTTGATTCAATAGTCGATATTAATTTTAAAAAACATTTTAATATCCTTTAAATTTGAATTTTTAATAAAAACGTATGTCGAATAATGTTGTAGACACTATAACATAGGTACCTACATATAGATCACGCGGTATAATGTGATGTCAATTCTTCGAAAGTCGAAGTCGATTCTTTCGAATACATAAACCAGCCGAGTGAATAACTATTATTATTGTTATTTATTCAGATATGAAAAAAATATAACCCTCTGCTTATAATAATAGTTTATAACAGTTTTCGATGCATTAACATGTTATTAAATTAAAATAAACAAGCGAAACTTCCGTGAGCCCGTCGGGTCGAATAAATTAATATTTCAACCCACTAAATAAATACTTATATCTACGATGTATTTTATTCGAAATCAATAAATCAGTGAAACGAGAATCATGTAGGTATAGTATTTTAATTTTAACTATAAATATACACATATATATGTGTAATACAACGACTCTACTTGTATCGTAAGAGATGAAGGTTTTTTCAGCAAAATATTTGACTAATTGTTTTGATTTTTTTCAAACGGTATATAATGTACCTATATATATATGGTATTAAACTGAGTAATAGTAATAATAAATTATAGGTAGGTACACCGTGCGCATAAAACATACATGTTACGTTTAACTTACTATATTATACTTAAAAACTAGTAAATTAATTAAAAATATATTCCTGTTATAAAATGAGCGTATACGCATAATCAGTCGTGACGATCGAATATAACACAACAAACAAAACGACTTTTACTGTGTATGTATTTAATAATAATATATACAATATTTATATATACAATGTATGCGATCGAAATCGATCGAATTTAAGCACTACATATTTATTAAATATGTATCTTCTGCGATCACTCATCGACACAGCATTACTGTCTACATAGTTATCGTCATCACGCTGAATCCAAGTAATATAACTACATAACTACTATCTACTACAATTATATAGACAGTAAGTTCTGATGTGACAAAAAATGTTTAGATTCCGAGTTTAATATTAAAATCGTATATCTGCAATGTAATGGACATTTTAAGGGTATTTTAATTATTTGGTTTGGTATAGCAAAAAATCAAGATATCGATGTTTTCCATAACCATTAAGAATCTATATTTTATAATAATAAGTCTTTAGGTACAGTACAATTTTTAATAGATCATTAAAAACGTTACCAAACTCTTTTAGTTATCGATTCATTCCATTACCCACCGAGTAAACATGAAAGTGACGTGTTAAAAAAGATATATACATATTATTTTCATTTTTAAGGTGGGAAATTTCATTCATTCTTCGTCTTCCTCTTCGCCCATTTTACACTGTATAGGTATATCCGTAATGGATTCAAAAATCAAATTACAAAATGTCGCTACCAGTTGGTCTTAAGTTGGAAAAATGACTTCGACATACAAAGACATCGTACGATAAACAATATTGAACATTTACTATCATCACAAACACAAAGCGATAGTGTTGTAGGCAGTCAAATTAACTTAAGAATGTCGATTACAGAAGTCATACAATATAATCTGGTAACAGTCAGACAATCTGAAGTCTGTGTGCAGTTTACACACACTTATCAGAAGGTATTTAGTATAATATGCAATAAAATATTATCAGTGTTTGGCAAGTTTATTATAAAAAAAAGAGTTCTTTAATTTGTTGTTCCTTTGGAAAATTAATACGAGTTCTTTTTTTAGTTCCAAATAAAATAAAAATTCTTATTTAATGATCAATATTTTTTTTTTCATAAGCATATACTGCAGAGGTAACTGCTTATACTTATTATTTTTTAAACAGTAAAATTAATATTATATTGTACGATTAACTTCGATTCCCAACAACGATCACTAATTGGCAATATTATATTATATTAAAAATATTTTAACTTAAATTATTTACATATCTGTGTAAATTGGAACTCGAAAGAAACTGAAAATGTCGTTATTCTTCCTTGTAAAAAAAGAACTCGTTAATTTTCTAATTCTTTTTTTATAAAAATGATTTCGTTCTTTCCAAACACTAAATATTATATAATGACATAATATATAACTAGCTGTATTACTCGATTTGACTATAAAAAATAATCAATTATTATAAAATTCGACACTTGCCGACCCGCGAAAATGAACAACTCACATTTGTAACACGGTCAAGTGAGTGGTTCTGAAGAATCATTTTTAAAAAGCATCGTAAAAACCAATTGAACTGATGGCGTTACGAGTATATTCCTATTTGCTCGTTCAATTTTCTAAAGAACTAAGCAATGGTGTAACTTTTTGCAAACAATTAGGGGAGAGGAAATACAACTATAACCTTAATATTGTTGGCTTTTACACAAGTCTAACAATTCATTTTATGGGTTATTATAAACAAATCATAGGAAACCAATATCCATAAATAATATTAAGTACCTAGGTACCTTATATAATATAATAGTTTAATTAAAAAAAAGGTGAGAGAAATATTTTTATCTTATGTATTGTACTTTTTCTTTGTTTTAAAAGATTATTAAAGAATTCTACTATTCAAATGTTGAGGAGGCAAACTAATAACTTTTAATTTTACACCCCCCCCCCCCGCCAAAAAATAAATAAAAATAATTTCAGCCTACCCTTGTCCCCTAGCCTCAGTTACGCCACATAAACCATGTACGTGAACTGTAATATTTTAATGTTATTTTTATGTATGAGCTGATGGCGTACCTTTCTGCGGCGTCCCTCGTACCCGGACGTGTTGATGTACAGCAGGTCGGAGATGCCCAGCAGACAGTCGTCGCACCGGCACAAGTCACTGCTCATCGACGACATCGAGTCCAGAGAACTGGTCGAGCCGATTGAGTCAGTTCGCACCAGCGACGGGTGCGAGCCGTACTGGTGACCACCGCCGCCGTTGAGCGAGGCCCTCTCCATTTTGGCGATGAGCAGAGACTCCATGAGCGTGCGAGGCCTGTTGTGCAGGCAGTTCAGTGACCCGAACTCGGACTGGTGACGGCGCAGAACGTGGCCACCGCCGCTGCCTCCGCCGGATGTGGACCCGCCGTCGCACCCGCCGTGGCCGTAACCGTGTCCGCCGTGGCCGTAACTGTGTCCGTCGTGGCCGTAAACGTGGCCTTCGTGGCCGCAATTGTGGCCCCCGTGGCCGTAATCGTCGTCGTCGCGGCCGCCGACGGATGACGCGTTGCCGCAGCCATCGTCACAGCTTCCGGCCGTCATCGTGCCGCTGCCGTCGCCGCGGCGCCTGTCCAAGTGGCCGAGGGACGCGGACGCGCTCCGGCACAGGTTGCTGGACACCCGTCGGCTTTTTTGCGGCTCTCCTGACGACGACGACATATCTCAATCTCGCTGATGCTGATGCTGCTGCTGATGTTGACTGATCCGTCACTCACGGCGTCGTCGTCGTCGCCATCGCCGTCATCGCCACCGTCGACCGGTCACACCGGGTGGTTCAGTTCACCCGCGCGCAACACTGCGTTTTTACATTATTATAATATTTTCGTACACCTAATTATAATATTGTATTATTTATTTATTTATACGAATACAAATCGATCGTCTATTGGTATGCACAATGATAATATTATAACTGCAGTCTTGTAAAGCAGTGCTTCTCAAACTTTTTCGTCTTGGGTCCCCTTAAATTTAATGTGAAACGGTCAAGGCCCCTTAAATCAAAATCATTGACTGTTTTTTTTTTAAATTATATAATAAAATAAATATTTCACTTCCCACCAGTCATACGTATATCCGCGACCCCCAAGCGGGCTGAGGCCCCATGTTTGAGAAGCACCGTTTGTATAGTACTCAAATAAAAGTATTCAACTATACTGATTTCGTTTTTAAAATAATATTTTATATTTATACATTATACAGAGGATCCCAAAAGTCCCGCATCAGTATTTCTGCGTGATACATCAACAGATTTAAATTGATTGCAATTCAGTGTGTATATTTTTAAAGGTGCTAAATTGAGTACTTTTTTCACACAGTTTTTCGAATACAAAATAAGAGTACTTTTTACAAGACTGGATACAATATTATTGTGCATACAACGATATTACATGTCATATAGCTACATGACTTAAGGATTTGGTCTCGTAAATCACTCGAAAAACATATTATGCAGAAAGTTAATTCGTACGGTACATCACGCCTTTTCGTGAAGGATGTCGGTTATAATGTTTTTTTGATCGGCCTTTCCGGACTTATACCAGTTATACCACCGGAAAAACAAATCCATCAACGAAAAAATCAACGACACAGTGGGTGTATAGAATATTTATATATGGTATATCGACTATATCGTTCAAGTCAAACACTGCAGGTATACCAATTGACTTAGGTATCTTAAACGGTTTTTTGAGAAAATTCATATCAATACATTTTAATAAGATCAGCGTTGGTTTTTGGTCCATAAAGCATAAGAGGTTGAAGTTGGCATACTATTCGTTTTCTCTCGTCGACTCGTGTGAAACATTACAAGACTGCGTTCATCAGAACCCGTAATATTGTGTAGTAAGCTTTGATATAGGAGTGAGCATTGAGTTATTTGTTTAAAAGAAATAAGAAAAGTTTAACAAAAAAAAACTTTACAAAATGTCGGTCTCGATTAGGAAAGGGTTATAAATCGTGTTTCAAGAGCCAAATATATTACTTCGATTTTAAAGGAGTTAGAGCTTTGTTTCACTTTTAAACTGGACTTAAACATTAATGTAAATACCTAGCGATCTAAATGATGAGCGAAAACATTTTTAGAAAATGTAAATGAAATTGTTAACTGTGGCTGTTCATTTTCATACATATTTTTATTGTTTTTTAATTTTGCAGTTTAGGGATTTAAGAGTAAATTTCAAAACTAAGCTAAAAAGTTTAACTGTTTAAGGTCTCGTTATGTTACATTTTTACAAAAAAAAATTTGAAAAATATATTTAAGCATTTCCGAGGGTCAAATTTTTCCTTTACGGATTAATTTAGGTGTACTCAGGTACTCTACATTTGAATTAAACTCGACTATAATCGTCGAAAATAATACTTGCCCAACTCTGATAATACTATTATAATATACAAGAATTGGTCGACCGGTGGAAAATACTAAATAATATCGAATTCTAGAAGTGGAAAAAATCGTTCACGCCCTATATTCTACGATCGCGCGTGCCGAGCATTCGTGCAAATTGTGTTGCGTGCTCGTTGCGCCGCCGGAAATCGATCGCACCTACTCAATGCATCGATCATCGAGCTCGTAACATCATTATAATTATTATGAATATAATAACGTTTTAGCGTGTACAATAATAATATTACTATCGAGCACTCGTAATGCGCTAGGACGTTAAACGTTTTTTTTTTTTTTTTCAACGCAACGTAATAATACTCTGTGCATAGATTTCGATTAAGATTCAAAAATGACCGCACGACCACCGCCGCGACACGGTCCCGGCGCCGACCCGACAGATCGTAGATCGTTCCCATCGAAATATCGTACGGCATTATTGTGGTGCCGTATACAATACAGGTAATTATAATAATATTGTAATTACCGACGTGTTATTTACTATCGCGATAATGATTCACATCGACGGCCCCGTGGTTAATTAAAATATCGCCGGGCCATTAGAGACGATCACGAGAGCGCTCGCGTTAAAACAATATTATAATAATATTATAGTTGGTATATGCATCCACCATAAATTTATATACGCGATAATAGATGGATCGGGCTTAGCTGTCTGTCATTGCTCATGAGAAAATTGTTTTGTATTTTTTTTTTTTACTAGAGCCTCAACTACCAACGTGAGAAAGCTTAGAATTAATGTAAAAAAGTTGTAGATACAAAATAATTTGTGGATTTTCGAGATTTTGAGTAGGTACTTTTATTACCCGTATATAGTATTCAGAAAAACGAAACTAAATAATGTTGTAACATTGTCTGTGATAGTGTGATGACATTTCATAAACAGTAGTTTGAACATTATTATTATCGCATTACAAACGTCGTGAGTGTGCCTCATCTCATCCGCAGGAAAAAAAAATAATTGTACCTGATTTCCCCCGATATCCGATAATGTGCTAATATAATACCAATTTTGAGAGTAGATAGTTTGGTGTGGAGAAACGCGCCTATATATATATCAGCAGTTGATCCCGTTCACTTTGTTATCCGTTAAAAATGCCAACTCTATAAGAGACTCGATGGTGATAATGCGAGCAGTATATTATGCCTACCTGCTGTGGATTGCGGACCCCACTTTATGAGTACTTTATATAAATAATATGGTTTATTTTTATTTTGATTACTGACACGCCGATGAGCGGCTATATATGCGACTCAGCCACGTTGGTAGGCAATTCAATTGTACGAATGCTTATACCTGATCTGCCCGATGAACCACCGCAGACAACCAATAAACAAAAAAAAAAAATCCAATTTCTACTGAATATATTTATATTTATCCTATAACCAATAGTAACCGTATATAAACAAATATTTCCTTCGTAAATATTAAAATCCATGTTTAAGCAACCCCTCTTCCCCTGGTTGGACCTCTCGGGTCCAATATTACGAATCTAAACCATCCACGGAGTCACCCAAACGCATACAAAAAATTCATTCAAATCGGTCCAGCTGTTTAGGAGGAGTTCAGTGACATACTGACATATACGTGTACAGCGGAATTATACGTATTAAGATAGACCACGCGTGAAAGTGAGATCTAACGGCGGGAATTTATCGGGTTTTTCCTCTCTTTTTGACCACAGTTTGCAGGGTATAAAATAAAATATAATATTATTGTAGCCGGCAGTATATTGTTATATCGTATCGGTGGCCGACCGACGACCGTTTCGCGAAAACCAGTTGTTTATTACGCGAAGAATGTGTAGACGGCGGCGACGACCAACGCAGGTGACATAAAAAAAAAGAAGGGAAAAAATAATGTTAAAAAAATTACAGAAAAAAGTACAAAATATAATCTCTCTGCGCCGCAGCCTTATTAAAAATAATAAGGAACGATATATCCGTGAGGAGGAATCGATCTCGGCCGAGTGCAGTACGGTAAAAAGTAATAATAATAATAATAATAATAATAATAATAATAATGATAATATAAAAACACGACGTAGTTTACTTTAATATTATTTTAACATACGTATTATATTCTTCGTGTGTTTACACACCGATTGTGTACTGAATAATTATACTGTGTCTATTTATTTCGACGAGAAGAAATATATGATATTAATAATATTATAATAACAGTTACGAACGTCGCCCCGGCGTTGTCGCCGCTGGTGGTGTTAACGCTACTAACAATGATAATAATAATAATAATAATAATAATGGACACGAGTGAAAACAAATCGCGACATGTATTTTTTAAAAACCTTCTTTTTTTTGATTTTTTTTATTCCGCCGCCATAACGTCTCAGACGCGCATTTACCCCAACTAATATAATTATAATAATTAATTACACTCGGACGTCTAATGTAGACGAACAAGTTTCTGTGTTATAGAGAGGACCTTCTCGGCCGAAATCGCTGTTTACGATTATGATTTATCGACTACGACTCACGAGTGGCTGCGATTTAATGTCGTCATTCTATCGTATGATTATGTGATTAATTATTATTAATCCCGCGTAAATCGACAGAGAGAAAGACTGCAGTAGTGAGCGTAGTGAGAGTTTTATCAAAACCGCGGACGTCGAGTAGAACTTAATCAGCTGCAAATACGTTCTCGACCGCACTCCGAATTGCAATTATAATAATATATTATTGCCAAAGTAGAATTTTAATTGAAAATTAAATATATTTTATTTTGTGGTTGACATGATTGCCAAAACTATACAGCCAAGATCGAACCATAAATCATATAACGGATACATTTTAATAATATGACACTGCAGTAAGTTGTTCAGTCATTTCGTATAATAATTGTAAATTCGTTACTAAAATAATATAATTTATTTCTGAAATAAAGGCTATTTTAATTTCATTTGATTTAAAAATATTAGAAATTCAACAGTTATAATATTACCTATATTCGTTTTAAGCTGTTTACGACTACTGACAATAAAATTATTTTGAAAATTTGAATTATTGTATTTCAAACCATAAATCTTGTTTTGAAATGAACAATAAACGAGTTTTATTTACGCACGTGTTTGCATATTAATTTAGAATAAAGTAGTTGAAAATCTAACGAATTCCGTATGGATAAAATTGTTTGTTTTATAGTGCAATACGAGTGTAACTGTAACATTTGCGCATACACAGTTGGATAAAATATTTTGTCATTATATTCGAAAAATTTTAACGTTGTCTTTATTACTTGTAGGTACTCTATTACGTTGGTGATTTGACCTATTTAAGATATTTCGCTTCAAAACTGTGCAAAAAGACAAAACAAATTTACAGCACGTATAAGTGGGAGGATCACATCGACTTTGTGCTTATGCAAAAGCAAAATG